ATACAAACAGTACAAGTACACCGAGAAGGTTTCTTTCATGCGAAGATATGTTCGGGGCTCCAAATCAAACACGAACTTTGGGCAACGTCCTGTTGACCGAATGAGAAATACAGTTATACTATTTGATGGAGAGGTTAGACAAAACGCAAGGTTTCTACACCACTTTCTGAGAGCTACACATTTTGGTCATATGCTTAAATTTCCGTCGGTCGTATCTTTTGGATTTTATGCCAATTCATCCATACTTTCTGCTCCATTCTCTTACATCTTGTTGTTTCTACTTGTTTGCTTAAATGGATTTGTTCCTATAATCGGGCAACGCACTGATGGCATGGGCGTTCATCTTGTTTCTGCAGGCTCGTGCGCAAATGAGGTGGGCTTCTGTGAGCGCCAGGTGGAAAACAGCATATGCAACGAGGTGAAGAACGAATGCTTCTGTAAGAAGGGATTTGTTGCCATCCGTGAAGGTGATCGGGTCTCCTGCAAAACGTGTAAGCAAATACTCCATTTTAATTCAAATTCTGGTCTACTTTTGACAAAAATGTTCATATTAAAAAGAGCTAACAAAAGAAAATTTTATTTTTACTTCTACATGCAGTCTTAAAGTTATAGGGCCTCATTTGACAATTTAATACCCCACTTGGCTTGACAAAATGTAAAATAAGCTCTAACACTCTTCTTTACATGCTACTTGCGATTTTTTGAATAAAAATATCCCATAACTTATAGTCATTTGGTTTTGAATATACGTTTATTTGTCCGAATGCATACTATCTGCATTGTATTAACTTTGCAAATTGTTTTTTTAATTGCCAAGAATTAGAGAAAAGTATGAAACTCCTACTAATAATTAAAACAATCTACTTATTTGATCACAATAAAGCTTTAATAGGTTATTTGACAAGAGTAAATGAATTTATTATTCTCTCATCTTGTTTTATTTACCCGAAATGCAATTAGGGTCTTTGTATACATCCCCATAATCTTCAGATTATTTTTACGAAATGAGGGTATGAAGACCAAGATTGCGTAGCCTTTTGTGTGGTCGCAGTCTCATTTCGTTGTACATACGTTGCTTGACCTTGTTTTCGCAACTTGGTCAGGTTGGTAGGAAGACTTAGAGGAATGCACCTTGTCCGGAGTCCACTGTTTAGCTTCACTTCTCTCTTTGACGAGTTGTTGTGTAGTGCTAAGAATGACGAGACTCACTGACGATGCCGCGAAACGTCTGGGAATGTACCAAGTCCACGGTCCTACTTTGGAAATGATTATGCATACAATGGACTCCGGACTAGGTGCGTTCCTCTAAGTCTTCCTACCAATATGACCAAGTTGCAAAATGCTGCATACAATGGACTCCGGACTAGGTGCGTTTCTTTAAGTCTTCCTACCAATATGACCGAGTTGCGAAAACAAGGTCAAACAACCTCTATACAACGAAAGGAGACTGTGACCACACAAAAGGCCACACCTCTTGGTCTTCAAAGGTCATATTTTTACGAATATTCATTATAAATAGGATTTCTTGGCCATCAGCAACTCCTGAATAAGACCCTTAGTTACCCCATATAGCTCGAGTCAGTGAAGAATTAATAGTGAATTTCCCCAGGGTTTCATCGAAGTTCACTTAGCCTAGCTTTTCAAAGGGTATTCGCATTCAGAGTGAACTTGAGCAGCCCAAGTAGAATCAAACCTGGTTAGTGCAGCTTATACTTTATACTTTTTACCACTAGTTTCAGCCGGTCACAGCACATA